ACAATCAGTTTGTTTTGATTTTCAGATTTTAGGGGAGCATTGATAAAGAAAGAGAAAGAACACCAAGTTGGGTGGTGAGGAGAATCTGGGCAGAATTGGAGAAAATTAAAGAATATGATTAAAATATATGACCGATTTTATCAAAAGTTGACTGAGACTAATGCAGATAATATATGACATAAATCTTACCAGTGATCAGGTAAATAACATGAGGTAGATTTATCTCTTTTTTATAGATGAATACAAGTAACTAGAGCTATAAAGAGGCAAATCAAGTTTAGTACATTTTCACAGAATTGCAGGAAGAAACAAGATTGTAATTCACCTTGATATTACCTTTATATTAAAGAATGACTATGCATAAGATGGCTGACTTCAAATGGTAAGTCTATTAATTATATATCTCTTCTAAAACTCCATAGATGCCTTTAATGCACATTTTAAATGATTGCATGCATAAAATGAGCAGGCACAAACATTTTCCTAAAACGAATATACCGTTACTCATCTACGACATTGCTCTAACTTTAACCATAGTTTTGAAACAGTCAGAAAAGGAGGGAAGAGGGCAGAAATCTATATCCGGGGGAATAATAAAAAAAAGTCTACACTCCGTCAGAGTCACAGCTGGAGTGAATTTAAGTAACCTTGTCCTCTTACTCACTCTAGTCTAGCACAAAAATAAAATAATGGATGCTTATATTTTAGATTATTATTAAGACGCTTCTTCTGCTAGTCATGGGCAACCTTCTGCTTGTGTCACTGATCCATTTTACAGGACTTACCATGATGCAATATAAATGTAAATTCTTTCAAAATACTTTAAATAATTTTTGAAAACTTAACTACAAAATGATACACATGTATTGTGATATCTAATAAGTGTTAGCAGGTTATTTATTTCTTAGCAGGGAGAAGTTGAGCTAGGGTTAAAATAAATCTCGGATAATTTCAGAAAGTGAGGCAAGCCGCTACAAAGAAAAGACGCTGTAGTAGTTTATTTTAGTAGGGGCTCTCCTGGGTTTTCACAAATGCAAATAGATATTGTATTTTTATTAAAGAGAACAAAATCTACCAATATTAGTGGTCTCTAACCAAGTCTGCCAAGTTCTAAGTTCAGCGAATTTCAGTAATTCTCTACTCAAAACATAATTTCATCCAAGCAACTATCCTTCAAGTATCCAAGTTCTATTCAAAAGTCGTAAAATCGAGATTACGTTAAACTAGCTGAAGACTTTTTACAGACATGTAAAAACTTGCTTGTCAACTTCTTAAATATAACTATCTGTCACTGTTTAATCTATCACTTTTAGAAGTATTTGAAATTGCTATAGCTTACATTCAAATTAAATATGTCTACTAAGAAGAGCAAATAAGATGTAACAGAAATGCTTAGAAACACCAAACTAGAAGATTTTTCATTCACACATAAAACACTGAACTGTAAAGGATAAAATGAATGTTTAATTGCATTGGTATATTTTTCAGTTTGTTTCAAATGCGGCTTATAATGTTCAACATGGAAAACTGTAAAGGTGCTATTAGGCAATGGCATAAAAATATTTTTCACATGGTTTTGAAGATAGTTTTTAAATCTACTTTTGGCTTCAAACAGGTGAAATACTTCCCTTAGGAAGTGACATACATAAGTATCATGTATGTATCAGTTGTGGAAATTGATTTATCCTTTGCATATATTCAGCATGCACTATTTTTTAAAACCCATTAGCAATGCCAGAAGTGAAAGTTAAATTAAAAATTTTGAATAAGTCATCAAAACCATCCTTCCTATTTATTTTTGTAGCAACTCCCTATATAGGACCACCCTCCACTTTCCTTGTCACTTCCCACCATGGTCTTCATGGTGTCTTGGGAAGTAAGCTTTAGTATTTTCTATGAAAATTCCCACCATAAGTGAAAATAGTGCCCTACACCACCTCTGGCCAGCAATATGGTTTTTTTGTTTCTTGTTTTTTCCTCTGTGTTCCTTCTTTCTGCAAATGCAAGGGTGTGTTTTCTCTGAGTAACTTACAACCCACACACATTTCCTACAGAAGATGAAGCATGTATAAATTAAGAATCCTTCTCTTCCATGATGTCAGGCTGAACCGATTCTGGGAAACCCCTGAGCTTACCCCCATTTTCTCTTTAGTGGATTAACGAATCATTACATTTCTTCAAAACAATCATTCTGAAATGGCAATAAAATTTGTACTTTAGCTCCCCAAATTCTGAACTTTTAAAATAGATAATTGTTAAATTTCAGTTCACTAGAAAGATGATCGAAGACTAAGTTTATAATCGCTTGATGGGAGAGAGGTTGTATCCTGGAGATTACCCCCCTGTATCTTAAAGACAGATATTACAGTGTTATCAGTCACCACTAATGGCCATGGTGACACTTGCTTCCAGTCTTCTCAACTGAACTTTGTTATTGTGGTGGGCACTGGTTACTGGCGCTGCTGTTCTAGAGAAACCCCCACCCCCAAATGCTCGCGGAAAAAATAAAAGCAGCTTCCCTTCTCTTGGGCTGCTTTTCTAATTTATACCCTATATTATGAGTACTAAGACTTTTGGAGACTGTGTATCCGTGGAATAAAGATTATAGAATAATAAATGTTTAAATAATTCATTTCTCTTCTTCAAGGAGTCACTGCTCTTTTCATGAGAATCCACGCTTTAGACGAAACCGTGAGCGGGGAGACAGAATACGTACAATATAGTCCCCCTAGCTACTCTCTACCCTCCTGCCACCCACCCTGACCTTTGGTTTGGCTTACTCTGAATTCCAGCTGGCTGGACTTTTTCACAAACCCACTGTCACATTTTAAGAACCTCTTAATTATGGGTAGGGGTAGGAATCCATAATGAACTATATATTATACACTAAGCTCTGAAGGGTGCATCGGGAATTCAACTTATTTACGAAATAAATAATTATATATTCAATTTTAGGAACTGAACTGTGGTTGCAAATTTTTAAAAATTGTAATTAAGGAGGTTTTTAAGGAACAGAAAAGATACCCATAGCTATCTGTCTACAGATATGTTAGCAAAACATAAAGGATAAGTTAGACTCAGGGATGTTCTTTAGTCCAATCTGTAAGGCACTCTTGGCTACTGGCTTAACAGGTGATTTGATTAGAGGAACATCATGAATTAGGGCCCAAAATTAGGTCATATGTATATTCACATTGCAGAATCTTCCCAGATATGCACTGATTAGAACAGAGGTGTCATGTTCTTCTGTTCTTGGAAGAGTTACAGCTCTCTCAAACTAAGAAAGTGGAGTGAAAAGTGCGCATTCTGCTGTAGATTATCTGTAAATGTCCCCTCCGCCCGGGATCCCAGCTCATGATAAACTTCCAAAGAGGTTAAGTTAATTGCTGTTGAAAATGTTGGGGTGTGTCCCATGGAAAAAGAAATGGTAAGAGAGGTGGCTACATTGATGCGGATATGTGTGAGAGAGATGGGATGTGCAAAGATCATGTATGTATGTACACATGTACATATCCAAATAGACATAGGTTTTTACTTTCCTTAATTCTTTTAAAGTCCTGGGATTGAAGATGTTGCAGTCCTATAAGAGAGGAGCTGAAATGTTTGGTAGTTCAAGACCCTGGGAAACATTCTCAAATTACAAAAGGAGCATGCAACACACACACACACACACACACACACACACACACACACACGCAGACCATGAGAGGGCAGTAGGGGGCCAAGTTCAGGCCCCAGTCTTCCCTGGCTGTTCAGCATTAGCTGGCAACCATCCCTCTGCCTCCTGAGCTGTGGGCAGCTGCAGTTGATGACAGCGTGCTGAAAGCCACCGGTGCAGCCTGCATTTCCAAGGAACCAGAAGTGGGAAAAAAACCTGCATCAAAAGAAAAAAAAAAAAAAAAAAAAAAAAAAAAAAAAACCTGCATCTGCTGAGCTTGGAACTCCCTCTGTTGTTGACACTTATGTGAGGTGAGGTGCTTGTGCTGTTTGTCAAACTGGCTTTCGATTTTGGCTTCCCACAAAAGGATCGGAAGGTGGAGCTGTGGTGATTCCCAGTGCCCACAGAGCCCCCTCTCCTGGCCACTGAGCAAGGACCACACTTGGTGCCCAGTGAGCATGCTTGCTTCGCTCTGTGTGTATATAACCCTTAACAAATGACTGTTGCTCTGTCTACCCGTGTGACAGACACCAAGACACCAGTGTGAAGTTCCCTCTCTCAAAATCGGTTTTGTTAACACTGCTGTGTTGCAGGCACCTAAGAGGCTGTCGTTATCACCTCATTATTATTTTTTCCCCATTCCCAGCTGATGTATGAGCAGTTCTACTTGAGTGAGAATGTGAGTCTATTCGAGATCTTGCCTGCCAGTGCAAAGAATTTGGCAGAGAAAGAGAACGCGAAAGGGAACTTCTCTGCAGTGTAAAATGTTTAGGGCGCCTGGGATCCATATTCACAGTGCACTATCACATCCCGCGCTGTCATTTACACCAGTCGTGCGTTTTGGGAACACACACACACACACACACACAGACACACACACACACAGACACACACACTTCATTTAAAGACGGAAAAGCAACGGGCCCTGTCTTCCAGAATTGTATTAAACAAGTGAACACCCAAAGCGCTTAGAATCGAGGCTAGCACATTCCAGTTGCTATGTAAGTTGCTGTTCACATCCATTGCATCCGAGTGTGAGCTGGAAGGACCATTCTGGCCACTTTGCCAAAGAAACGTACTAGATCTTGAAAAGTACCCATGTCTCAACGCAAATATACCCCGCCCCTGCCCTAAACAAACATGGTAGAGACCAGCAAATCGCCCAGGTTCTGGTACTCATGCAGACACCCAGCTTTATGAACCCCCTCCCAAGTAGCCAGAAGCGCCACACCTGGCTGGGGTAAGGCTTTTGACTCTTTCAGGGCGCAAAAGCAAACTGCAAGCGCAAAGCTCTGGCCCCTACTTCTCCTGGCTGAAGAGTGTGATTGAGGGAGTTTCCTACCTGCCCCAGGCTTTTGCCCTTCTTACTGCCGCCGAAAGCCAGACCTTGGTTCATGCCCGCAGATCGATTGGCAGCCTGAGCAGGGGCCTCTCCTCCCAGAGAAGACTTGATGGAGTTGAGTTTGGCCCGCGAGCTGCCTAGCTGTGAGCTCTCCACCATCAGCACCGCGGCCAGTAGGAGTAAGCATCGGGATGAATCCTTGCCCCGCATCAGTGCGGCCATCTCCGAGTGAGGGGTTCCCGCGGTGGGGTGGAGCCCCGAGAGAGAGACGTGAATGCCAGGAGACGGAGGACGCCGACACTCAACCCCTCACGTGGGGTACGTGGGCTCCTCACTGACACGGTTTCCCCAGCCCTTCTTGGACCAGACACCCAGGACTTTCCAAACTCAGTCTCGAGCTTCCAGCCGGGAGCAAACGCGACCCCAGAGAGACCCGCTCCTCTGGCGGGCAGGAAGTTCTGCAGTCCCTGGAAGCAATCAAAGGCCAGGCGCCTTCTCGCCAAGGAGGCGTGACCCAAGGTGCTGGAAGACCCAGCCCTGCAGATCGTACCGCGGTTGTCCCTTGTGTTCTGCAACCTCTGAGTTCTCTCCCGATTTTCCGCGATTAAATCCTTCCTCTTAACCACTCAGTGCGTTTTCCCCAGCTTCTGCTCCTTAGGCCTCGGTTGCTGTTCTTTCCTTCCTTGCACTTTAGCTCTCGACCTTTGCACCAGCCAAGTCCCTCTTTTCCAAGGCAGCACGCTTTCTAGCTTTCTAACTGGTGATCAAGAGTCGTCTGCCTGACCAGAATCCGGAGATCTAAAGCGAGCCAGGTCCCTACATGCGCACTGCCACCTGGTGCGGTGAAGAGTTGACCCTTGCTTGGTTCAACACCGGGCCACCAAGCACAGCCAGCGGCCAGTGATACAGTGATGCTCTGCGCCCAGGGCCAGTGTTCCTTCTGCTCTCCCCCGCCCTCTTCTCTTTTTATAGCTTTCACAGTGGGTTTTTCCTCCGCCCCCAGTTCAAGAGTGACAAAGAGTGAAAACGTTTCTTTCACCCCCACCAAGCTCCCGCCTCCCTTCCCCCAGCAGGCGCTTTTCTGGGGCTGTCTTTCCTCCCCCCCCCCACCTTTCCTACCCTTCTACCCCTCCTTCTCCCTGCAACTGAAAACTTGGGGTTCACCTCCAGAGCACCATGGGATGGCTCTTCGTGGCTGATCACTGCTCTAGTAGTGACTGGGAGTTTTGAAACGGGCGAAAATGAAAAGTTGTCCCCATTTGTGACAGCTTAGTTCCCCCACCCAGCACCAGCCTCCGACTAGGAGCCCTGGAAAAAGCCCTGTAGAACATCTGTAAGTTAAGTTAGTGGGTTGTGTGCAGCTGTTTGGTTTTAGCCCCTGCCTCTCCGTTAATGTGCTGTGCGAGGCTGACCCGCAGTAAGTGTATCATGGGGTTCACATAGGATCCTGGGTCGGAGGGAGCTGTAAAATCCCGGACGAAAACGATGGGGATAAGGGACCGTGCTTTCCCCTTTGAAGTGCATGGATCTTTTTGTTTCCTCATTCCCCCACCCAATCCCACACACATAGCAGACATTTATCTATCCAAGGAGTGGGAGGAAGGGGATGATATCCCTGCGTGTGCTACCTCACCACTTGGTGCTGCACCTTCAGGATGCCAACGCGTCCTCTTTGCAAAGAGGAAATCCCAGGCGGGAATAAAAAGCCTAATAGGGTGAGTGGCGAATGGGCCGGAAGCTTCTGGTGCTGCCTCCTGCGCTGCTCCCTCCCTCCCAGTCCTTGGTTAGCCTTTTGGGTCAGCCCTTGAGGCGCGGAGAGTGGAGAGTTCAGCCTGTTTCTAAGAAGCCGCGGGGCAGCCCATTGAGTGGCCCAAACGCGCCTACTGGCTTGCAGCACTTGGGGGCGCCAGCGGCAGTGGTCAGCCAGGCGCACAAATACTGCTTTGCCAACAAACTCTGGGTTTGGAGAAGTTTGGTCGCCCAGGGAGACGAATCAAAAGTTGTTACATGTTTCCCTAGCTGGAGCTCAGTCGTCTTGCAATCACTAACAGTGTCCTTGAGCCACAACTTGGAGTCAGGCAGGGGTGGCCTGCTGTGAGGAGCAGATTCCAGCAGCACACTAGAATTTTTGGAAGCTACTCTCCTCTTTCACACCTGATTCTGGCATATACTATTCTGTCCTGTGGCCAAATTTAACAGATCTCTAAGGGGAAGGTTAGTGACTCCTGTCTTTTCCACCAAACACAATAAGGCATTCTGAGCTGGGATGTCCTGAGCAGCCCTTGGCTTTCCTGACCTATCAGATTGTCCTGGAACTTTTCATGAACACAAGGCAGTAGTAGCCTTGGATTTTTGTTTTTTTAAATACACAATTAAACGGAAAATAAAACATAGTTTATCTTTGGATGCCTTGTTACATTACAGACAACTGTCATCGCTATGTGGGATCTTCATAGTTAATGGCTTTTTTTTTTTTTTTTTTTTTTTTTGCTTTTTAAAATGCATAAGAATAGCATAGATGACTCTTGAAGAGATGATGCCAGTAAAAACTGCCAGCTATACATATGTAAGGCAGTCAAAGAGTGAAATGGTGGTTATCAATGGCCAGGAGAAAGGAAGGGTCTGGAGTTACTATGTCAATAGGCACAAGGGCTTTATTCATCAAGACAAATAAACTCGGGATATTTGCTGAACCACATAATGTCTAGAGAAATGAACAACTAATGCTGTCTAAAGGGAAAATCTCATGGTAAATGTCCTTACTACAATAAATAACACACATGGATATAAAATTTTATGCACTAAAAGGTGTGTGTGTGTGTGCATGTGTGAGCCCCAGAATGAATTTCTGTCTTTAAGGAAAAGCCAGGCTTTAATGGAAGACAGGCAGGGAAATGGGCTATATGTTGTGTGTAAGCTCTTACTCTTTAAAAATGGAAGACAGGCAGGGAAATGGCATGTATGTTGTGAATAAGCTCTTAATCTTTACCAATGGAAGGTATCTTTTGCTTTTGATTTGATTTGATTTGCTAATCAGGAAACATTGCAAAAATGCAGGAAGTTGTTTAAAAAATATTGATTCAGATATTTTAAAGAATATTTTATTATTTTTACAACTTTTATTCTTTGTTTGGTTCTTTTAGTTTTTGTTTAAACAATATTTTTTTATTTTGCATACCAATCCAAGTTCCATCTCCCTCCTGTGCTCCTGAAAACTTTTATTTGTTGTCAGTGCATGTGTAAGGGGTGTCCATGTGTCATGACATCTGTGAAGGTCAAAGCAGACCTTGATGGAGCACTTTTTCCATCTTTGCATGGCCTCCAGGAATCAAACTCCAGCGGTCAGACTTCAAAAAAGGCTCATTTACTAGCTGAGCCATGCCTGACAAAATATAGAACAAAAGAAAAAAAAAGGAAAGAAAAAAACAAACAAAATATAGTTAAATATATATGCAACACATCATGAATTCATTTGAAAGGAAATAGAATTTGACCCTAGTTGAAGAAAAATATCAGGTTAATAAAGAAAAATATGAAGAACTTTTGCCTGTTTTGATCACTTCACACTCTACATCCAATTAGAATTACATCACACACACACACACACACACACACACACAGACACACACAATAAAAGTTCACATAAAATTTGCTTTTACAAATATTCCCCTACATTTAAATCAAATATAGGGAATAAAATACTTTAATTCAACAACCACTCCTTACTCTAACAAAAACTGATTTCATTGATGACCCAAATGCAGTCTATGCAATAATTTGGCATACACAAACAAACATAACTTACACATACAAAGAGACACAAAATCAATAATGGAATAAGCACATGACCTGGGTGGCTATCATAAAGTCCACAAGTTTTCTCCTTGCATATTTTCTTAAATAGGAAGAAATACCATCATATTTCACTTGGGAGGATTGATTTTAGATCACTGGCAATAACCTAATTAGAGAGAAAATGCATAAAAAGGATATTGTACATAAGTAAAGTCAGATCTCTCCCACCCAGTAGAAAGTGAGCGTGCAGACACTTTATTCTTTGGCTATACATTTACTCTCCTCCCTCTTTTCCTCTAGCTTTGAGACATTTTGGCTCCATTGAAAATAAAACTACTTTCGCGGCAGTTGTTCAGAAGCCATATGTCCTGCTAATACTTAACCCTAAGACAGGATTTGTCCTTTTTATTCTCATTTGCAATTCCTTACTATTCCACTCCATCATCATGCCTCCTGGATGAACCCTGTGGAAACAGAGGTGAGTTGATGGCATCCATAACCCTGATGAAGCTTACAGCCCACTGTCAAGCCCTTAATACCCACCTCTAGGCCCTGTCAGGCAGAGTTAGCAGCTCTGAGGCCTCGTTTCTTCTTGCCCACTGTTGAATTTTTTGACTCTTTGAATTCAGTCTCTCCTGGGTTATACAGCTTCCAAGCTAGTGAAGTTATGTGATTACAGAAGAAAAGATAATTAAAGACACCCCCTAGAGACTTTCTTGCCCATAATGCTTTCACATATATCTTAAGAGCATACATATGGCATCACACACACACACACACACACACACACACACACACACACAGGTTTGAGTTTAAAGCCGTAACCACAGTAATAGTCATTAAGAATAATTAGATTGTGGCCAATGTGGGAAGGAAGGGTACAATGCTGGAAGCCCACAGAATTCCAAATCACCTTGCATATACAAAATGGATATGAAGGACCTTTGTGACATACATTAATCTTGGCGGTTGTTAAAATCTAGAAAATATAATTATGAGTTTCTTTACTGTATAGTGAACCAAACTGCTTGATGCTTGATCCTGTTACTCGCTGGTCCTCTCACCTTTTGGTTCCTTTTGTTTATAGTTTGGTTTTTGTTTTATTTTTGTTGTTGTTTTTGAGACAGCATTGTGTAAAAGTCCAGGCTGTCCTGGAACTAGCTTTACAGACCAGGCTCGCCTCAAACTCACTGAGATCTGCTTGCCTCTGCCTCTACCCCTGCCTCTGCCCCTGCCCCTGCCTCTGCCTCCTGAGTGCTGGGATTAAAGGCATGTGTCACCACCGCCTGACACCACCCTTTGTTTCTTAATGCATGGGAATTTGAAGGTAATCCCCCTGCCTAACAACAACAACATATGTTCTGTCAATCACATTGAAGTTGATTTGAATAACTGTTAATGAGCACTAACATCTTTGCGAATAAATTCAGATATGAAAAAAACTGAATCTCATATTTAATGCTTGCCTTAGTTTACACTGTAGACTGCACCCTGCCTTCATCT